TGCATGTCTGTGGCTGTATCTGTGTGTGCAAGCAGGTGTGTGTGTGTGTGTGTGTACGTACTTATTTAAGGACGTGCTTTTGCCTCAAGACTTAAGCTAAGCATGCAGTTTTTATGTGGTGGGGGGAATGGGGGATTTAAGGGTTTAGCTTCTCGATTTATATATGTATGTATGCACTTATGTTTTATATGTTGGTAGAAATATGTACGTTAAAAATATTTCCCATTCATCAAAATCATCATCATCATCATCGTCATCAACATCATCATCTTCATATCATGTCAGACCAAACTCAGCCTGACCGCCCCCCTCCTATCGCATTTACAATATAAAGTTTATAAAGTAGCCTAAAGATGTGGAATATTATAATCATAATTTCGGTTTTTGTTTTTCTTTTTTATATATTATTCTTTTTTTTTTTTTCTTTTTTGTAGCCTAGTTTTAAATAATTTCAACGTCAAAGGGAGAGACTCTTGTTGTGGTTTTTGTTGTTGTTGTTGTTGTTGTTGTTTTTATAATTATGTATTTAATTAGTTTTGTAGCTTTTCAAGCATTGTATGAAATATGGTCTCTATTCCATATGCATATAAGTTTATAAGTATGACTACCCAGCAAAAAATAACCCATTTATCGAGATACCCAACAACTCATAAATACATACACATAAGTACTTTAGTAAATACTAAGCTAAACTCAGATAATTTCATTTCATTAATATTATATTATTTTTTTTTGTAATTTTTTGTTGGTTTTTCTCACACACGAATTTCGAATTGATTTCGATTCGTTCAAAAATTTCTATTGTTTTATTTAATTTTTGTTTTCTTTTGAATTTTCGGCTTTTGTTTAAACAAGACTACAAACATTATACAATTGTGTTGTATTCAGATGCTTGCATGTTCCATTTGCCTGCAGTTCTTGAATTTTGTATATAAAAATACAAAATACTTGTACACACACTTTAACATATACGGGTATGTATATTTTTTTATATACTTAAGTAGATCATTTTTCAATTTTATATCAAACTCTTGCTCATTTATTATAGCTGCATTTTGAGCTTTTTTTAAGCTAAATATTTACATACAAACTGCAAAAACTTGACAAACTTAAAACAGCCAACTAATCCATCTAAAAGAAAAAATAAACAATCAATGGATCACATACATATGTTTTATCTGAAAAGATGACAAAACTAAAAAAAATAATGGCAAACAAAACTCACAAATCATGTGCAAATATCAAACATAATATACCATCTTATACATATAGATATTTAATTTTTTTTTTTTGTTGCTAATATTTGCTTTTTTTTTATACGTAAATTTTATTTTAATGTTTCTGCCAGGGTCTTCTTCATGGATTTAATGAGCACTAGAAGGCACAAAACGCTAACTAAACCAAATTTTTGTTTTTTACTCTCATGTATGTTTGTTTTCTGTATTTGAAATTTTATCTTTTCATTATAAATATGGTATGTTAGTTTATGTAGACTACATACATATGCATATGCGTTAAGTTCAAAATTACAAATTTAGCCTTTGCCAAAAACTGAAAAACTTCTCTCGTTGAAACCGCCAAATTGTTTTCCGAACCCAAATTTCTTATACACATACATTATTATGTTGGAACCAAAGAGTGATATAAATTAACAATATGAAACTCGAGCATGTTTGGCATGCTCCAGAAATAAGGATTTTCAGCTCGTACTCTAAGGATTTGCCTGCGAAATGAATGTGGTCAATGTCAACCAAAATACTGGAGACTTTTCTCTGCTCACCGATGCAATTCATTGGACGGAAAACTATATAAGTGTATGTATTTGCTTGTGTGTGTGTGTGTGTGTGTGTATGTAATGCTAATACAAAATGTACAGCGTCTCGGCTTGAACCCTTATAAGACCTTCGACCCCGGGGGGTATCGCTAGCATTTCTTTCTTTTTATATAAGAACTTAAGTATTTGTATTTCTATTAGTTTGGTTGTTTTTTTTTTTCATTAGTTTTTGGTTCTGTTATGAGTCATCCTTGCAAAAACCCTTTTAGAGCACATACCAACTTTAGGATCTTTAATATCGGTCGACACTTTATTATATTGGCAATCTATTCAAAACTTTTGTTCTGATCGGGCTTCTAATTTCGGCTAGCCGAGCATTTCGCATCTTATGTATTCTGCATCATCTTCTTCTTGTAAACAACGAAAAATTCGGTACGCATATGTTTAGTTTTTTTTTTGCCTTATATAAATACACATTTATTGACTTAATCAAGCTTTTTAAAAGCTAATCAATTCATCAATTTATTAATTGTAAAAATTTTGTTATTCATTTCATTTACTACATCTTCGGTTTACGTGGATTAAAGCTTTATACAACACACTGTTGAATCTTACTTAAATTCTAGATGCGTATTGGTATTACAATTATACGGCGGAGTTGTACGGTTGTTAATGATAAATGGATATTGATGCCGATTACAAGTATATGTAAATGAGGTTACGAAAATGTGTTATATATATCTATATATAATATATATATATATTTGTATATTTGAAATAGGAAAATTGTTTGTTATTTTCCGAATAGCAAAACTGTGTGTTGAGATTAAAGAGTTACCCAGCAAAGGACGTTTAACTGACAAAGCAGCAGAAAATAATAATAGAATAAACAGTCGGATACAATAATTAGGACTCAATAACAAAAAAAAAAAACAATTATTTACCTTGATTTGCATTTCGTTTACCCCTCGCCTGATCGCTTGACTGATAAGTTCAAGTGGTAAACCAAATGTTTCTCTCTACAAAACAGTTCTAGATATATAAAATTATGAAAAACATTGTTTGATTCATATTTATTTTACATATACATATATGTATGTGTGTATGTATGTGTGGTTTGTGTTTTTTAATTCATTTTTGACCACATACATAGAGAAAAATTGTGTTATTTGGATTTTTACATAAATAGTTTTGTTTTGTTGTTGTTGGTTGTTTATGTTTTTTTTTGATTTATTTTTATTTAATTTTTTTGTTTTTATGTTTTCTGCTTGTGTGTGTGCGCTTCGTTTTGTTGCTTTACTAACATTCTATAGCTGTAGATTAAATTAAACTAAAATTTAAAAACAAAAACAAAACATTGTCTATAACATAAGCAAAACAGACTAACAAAATAATAATTAATATATAAGTATATTAAAAATATTATTTGAAAAAAATCAAGCTACATTCCTTACAAAATGTTCTCCTTCGAAATGTTACAATTGTTAACAATTTAATTTATGATCATAGTTTTTGTTTTATCTTTATAGTATTATTCTCAATTTTTTTTTTCATTATTATTTTTATATTTGTTTCAGTTAATGGAAAATTTGTTGATGGCATCAAGATTAGCTGCATCTGATAGTAGGTGCTTATGTAGTTGTATGTATGTATTACATATAGGCATTAATTAGTTTAAATATTGATGATTATGACTGTTGCTGTTGTTGTTACTGTCGCTAAATATAGTTATGCTGCAGCTATGAAAACGTTTGACAAACAGACGTGTTTATTAATTATAGTTAGATGTAATCTGGCCGTCATTTGTACAATGCAAATGCGTTTGTTACCTTTCTTTCAATTTTGTTTTTGTTTTCATTATTACGTTATATAGTACTTAATCATCGCGTTGATAATCGTTTCCCATTTTGTGTGTGTGTGTATTTGCGTGTATTAGTATTAGGATTTGTAATTTACATTAGAATGATTCTTTCTCGCGTTACAAATTAATTAATTCATTAAACATTACATAGTTATCTGTGTATGTATGCATGTATGTTTGTCTGTATGTATGCAATGTATGTATATACACATATTATGCGCTCGTATGTAATATATAAATATTTCAGTAAACAATAGTTGCAATATTTACGCTTTTAGCTTAATAAAAAATACAATATTATATCTGCGATTCAATTGTTGTTGTTGTTGTTGTTTTTCATCTTTCTTAAGTTTACAGGATTTGTTGTGATTTTTAAGTGATTATGAGAAAGTTCTAACATTTATTGTTTATGCAAAAATTACTATTTGTTTATAAGTTACATTTTGTTGTTGGTTTCTGTAAAATGTTTATGCTTCAGTACGGCAAAAATTGTTTCCATTTGTTGTTCCTTTCAAGCTTTTGATTAAATTATAGTTTTTTGTTTTCTTATCTTGGTTTTTTTTTCTCATTTTTTTCTATCAATTTTATTACAAAAGTTCTATAATAATGAATTTTAAATATTATTTTTACTTTACTCGTACTTGGTATCAGATGTTTTTTTTTTTTGTTTTGTTTTATTTTATAATTCCACACAAATTAAAATGTATATAGCAATCGCATTATCATCATTATTATACTTGTTTTTCTTTTTCCATCAGTTTTAGTATGGTTCTACAATTTTCTGCTGATGTTAAAATTTAAGAAACTTGTGTTTGGGCCTAATTTACGCTTAATCTTCGGCAAACATTAGTTTTATTCTTTCTTTCTTTGTTTTGTTTTTATATTAATATGCGAAAAAGGAATTATGAATGTTTACATATTTTTATATATATAAACGCATATATATAAGATTATATATATATTTATATATATATATATATATGTGTGTGCGTGTACATACATATACATTTTGTATATATATATATATATATATATATGTATAATAAAAATCACAAAAATAGTTTTCTGATCCAAATCCAGTTTAGACCAAATTGTATTCCTTAAGATTGGATTGCAGAATTGTATCCTTTACAGCTGCAAACACAAACCTTATATTTTCAGTATCTAAAGAAGAGAGCAAAAAGAAATCTTTGTTTTAGTCACATTCAAAGGGACAAACATAAATGATGGATCTAATTGTCATTGTAACCATTACCAATTAATTCACATTTATTTAGAGTTCCTAACTTCAGTCGAATCTCACTAAAACTAAGTGCAGTTTAGGAATAATAATAATAATAAAAATAATAATGAGAAACAATAAAATAAACAATTACATTTTACTCTATATTTTGTCATTAAGAATCAAATAAAAGCATACAAAATGTAAGGCATGAAATTAATTTATATAGGTTTTCATATATGTATATAGAGGTTGGCTTCTCAATCGATATTCCATTATAATTGGGGGTAGTGTGTGAGTCGTTTATTCTATAACTTTTAGTAGTAATCGCAAGATCGTATCTTTCACAGCGGCGAACACGAGGTTGCAGTTTCTGGTATCTAAAATATCTCATTTTTTTTAGTAACTTTTCTCTGACACTCAAAATTAAAGAGTCTGGTTAGCGACTTAATTTCAGCAGGCGAGCAACAAAAGCAAATCGTGATCAAAGGTCTAACGCGAAGTATTTACAATAGTTAAATGTCAGCAAAAGCAATCTCGCTATATACACCCAACAAGGAAGCGTTACTTACCTGTAGCACAGGTGAAATGAGAATAGATAATCTTTTCGGAATCTGGATTTAAGTCTACAAACATGCGCAGTATGAATTCACGGGCTGCTATTGCATCTCGCTGTGGACCTGTTAGCAATAAAAATGGGAAAAATCGTTTACAACTAGCACAACTACAAAACTAGCATTAGCAATAGATCTAAGGGTATTACTTGTGGTAAATATTACAAGAAACGAAGCGTACTTACCATCGTATTCAGGAAAATAGTCCACCAAATGCGAATACATGATTTTCTCCTCTAACAAATCTTTCTTGTTAAGGAATAGAATAACTGATGAATTTTGGAACCACGGGTATGTAATAATAGTTCTAAATAAAGCTTTTGATTCCTCCATGCGATTCTGCAATAAATTCAACATAATTGTAAATTGAAATAACTAATTAAGAATTTCAATTAAACTTACCTCATTATCAGATTCAAACAAGATCTGATCGTATTCAGATAGCGCTACCAAAAATATTATTGAGGTAACATTCTCAAAGCAATGAATCCACTTTCTTCGCTCCGAACGCTGACCGCCAACATCCACCATTCTGGATATAGCAAATAGGCATTAATAAGGCAATAAATAATGAACTTGGTTAACTAAAGACAATGCCAAATTAGGTGAGTAATTAAGTAAGCGAAGAAGCTAAACTAAAAGCTATATAGTAAGTGAAGAAATCAAATGATATGTACAGAGATATGATTGAAATGTTGTTGTTAATCACATAAATTGGTTTACTACTTGTTGCTTTAGTTCAGGCTGATTTGCTCAAAATTGTAGCTGATTATGCATGTATGTTGAGATAAATGCGATATATAGACATATACCTAAATAAAAGTGGTGGCAATGGAAAGCTATAGTCATTTATTCCAGTTGTCGGACAACGGGATCGCAATATATCCTGCTCACTGGGCAAATAATCAGGCTGCCCTAGGCGCTCAATATTGTCAAGGTAGCTAATTGGAAGATGTTTATATAGGAAGATTTATAATAGAATTTTCAATCTGTTTGTTTGTCAACGTAAAAACAGTCCGCTACTAAATTCTGTCAGCCTGATGGAGTTTATGCTTAAGTAGCTAACCGATAACCGTTCATAGTTTTAATTGTTTAAAACTAATCTTACTTATATTAAATGATATATGTTTAGACAAATTCCACAAATAGTGCTGGTTAGAAAGGAAACAATTAAACGAATAATCAATTAACCAAAAACCAAAGAACATATTAGACACATGCAAATCAATAACATTGGAGTCATTGTAGCTACCTAAATCTGATCTCTTCTAAGTCAAAGGGATACTCAATGATCCCCGTTGTCGGCACACGAACTCTTAAAATGTCTTGCTCAGTGGGTAAATAATCAGGTTGAGCCACACGATCGAGATCCATCAGATAACTATACATAATACATATATAAGAATAAAATCGTATTTAGTATATATCAAGTTATTTCTTAATTTAAAGAATATCGTCAATGTGCGAACTGCTGTCTCATTTGCTATGCTCGATCATTGAGCAATGGATATATATCCATGTCCAACAATTAACTCACTATTTAGCGGAATCTGTCAACTGATATTCTCTTCGACGATCGTAGCATTCCTGTATGCCAACATCGGACCACAGCGTTTTTATGGCATTCAAATATGGATCCTCAAATGTTGTGACTGTTTCATAGTCAATGCTCATCACCAGATCGGCGAGTGCCTGCAAAGCAATTGGGAATTAAATTAATATATTTCTGATAAATCAATGTATTATTATTTTTTCTTGAATGGTACTCACATTATGCTCGCCAACACCATATGATATTTTGAGCATATCCATGGCTTTGATCATGGACTGCATGGCCATGAATATATTTTGGAACACCAGCTTAATGTAGCCGCGTTTGTCATCGTCCGAGTACCCGCTGCCATGGATAATACGCATCTGTTTGATGAACGTTGATTTGCCGGACTCGCCCGTGCCTGCGCATATCAGGGAAGAACCAAGTGTGGCATTAGTATTTGAGTATAGCGTAGCAACCAAACCTGCCACAACACCGCACCTCAATCGCGGCAGATAGAGGAGCACTCTACTAATTAGCAAAAATGTGGCGATACCAAACAGACGCAATAAATTGCAATTGCATTAAGTGCGGGCTGCGGAGTGCGAGTGAAATTCAATCACACACAATATATTACACACATAAACTGTGTACATAGTATGTGCAGCGTATCAGTAATACAATTTTGCATACTAATTGAAGCCACACAGCACAGGGCAATGCGCCCCGATGGGCCAGGAGTGCAGCCAACAAAGGCACAAGCATTTACATGAATGGGTCAAGGCTGTATTGCTGGACTCCATCTGGCTGATTGATGATGGTTGCTGCATTGGTCAACCACCAACCTGGTCGGGCAATACTCACCCAGCAGGAGCAGTTTAAGTTCACGGCGTGCATCTCGCTTGTCGCGCCGCAGCTGTTTCTCGATTTCCTGATTGATCCGCTTTTGTTCCTTGGCCTCTTCCGATAAACAGCACTCCATGCTAACTGGATTAAAGGACGCTTACGCGTTCTGCCGAGCCTTTACCACGCTCCGTGACGTGCGTAAATCTTTCAGTTGGATTTTAGGGCTTATCCTGTTTTCTATACTAAAGTAGTTTTTGCCCCTCCTCTACTTGCTTCAAGTTAATTAATTGTTTTTGGTGTTGCTGTTTATCAGGTTGTTTTGTTTTAACCGAATCCCGTTTAGTGTTTTCTTGCTCTCTAAGTTTGTGCTACATAAATTGTTGAATGCTTTTGTTTTTTTTTTTTTTTTAATTTCGATTTACTCAGTTGCTCGGGAGCATTTGTACTTTGGCGTTGCTCGCTGTTCTCTACGACACTCAGGCTCTCTTTGGCTATGGCTTGTTTCCTTCAAAGGATTCTCTTGTTTGCGTGTGCTGTGTGCGCTTGTGTGTGTGAGTGTGTGTGTCTGTGTGTGTGTTGTGTGTTGTGCGGGGGTTTATTCTGTTCCGTTTATAGTACTCAGTACTCAGTTGACTATCTTCCTCCTAAACAGACTTTGGCGCATCTCTCTGACAATGACGAGTACAAATACGATGACCACATCGAGCACGACGACTTCAACTGATTGGCGTTGTGTTCCGGCTGTTCATAAACACCTGCAAGCAGAGAAATTTCATTTAAATTTAATTTACTTTATTATATCATCTATTATCTATTTGAACCATGCCAGTTTAAGTTTGATATTTTGTTTTGTTTTCTGAATAAGGGCAAGAGCAGAAAATTCAATTAACAGTACCTTAGCAGTTTTGGGAGGAAGTGCCCATTATCAACCCCCCGCCAAATAGACGCAAAACAAAACTTTCAACAAGTTCATGCGAATTCTAGCTTCCACATATATTGGCCTTGCTCAAAACTAAATCAGTTTCCCACAAGGGATCATTAGCTGAACGAGTGATCAGCACAATGCTAACTATAATTCTAATTGTCGCCTGCACTCGAAACAATGTTTAAGGATAATTGAATTGATATTATTCATAAATGTTATTTCCAGTTCTGTTTCCAGAATAGCTTGCGGTTTTTCAACGAAGCAAGTAATGCGGTTTGTGTATACATAATTGTACAAAACAACATATGAGCAATATACATATCAGTGCACATACATATAATTATATGTTTAATGTTTAGACATACTATATATATACACAAGAGCTTGATTACACTTTCGGTTGTTGTTTTTTTGTGTACAATTATTAAATTACCAAAAAGTTGTACCCAAAACTATTTCACGAGGCATTCCAAATACGCCCACAGCAACTTATTAAGCATGTAAACAATTTAAATGGTTTTAGGAAACTGAGAACATAAAAAAAACTAAATTCATTTGTTTAGCACAAAAGAGTACAATATATATTTAAGGGGTAATCTGATGATGGAGCGTCTTTGTGAATGATAATTAAAGTCCCTTTGAAACCACTTGAAACTCTATACAATTGTTGTAGGGTATTTGAACGTGTTTAGTTTTGTAAATCAAAGTCAGCTCGGAGAATAAATGGATAAGGCGATTAGCTGACGCAGCAGACAACAGTAGCACCAGTCCGATAAAGAATCTCAGATAAACTCTAGATGTGCTACCAGCTTGATAAGACTTTAGTAGCTTCAGCAGTTCGTTAAAACGGTTCAACCATTTCATATATACATATATACATCACCAACTCATTCTCACCCTGGGAGCACGAGAGCGCGCACAAGCAAATAAATACAATTTTCAACAGGTTTGTCGCAAGTTCCCTGCTCAAACAAAAACTAAACTCAGCCCCAGCCCCAGACCCAGACCCATCCATGTCCACACCCACACCCACGCCCATTTGGGGCCAGGAGGGCATCATAATAGCTGACTGCATTCGGTTAATTGTCGGCATTAGTCACTGGCGTTATAGAGAACTTAGATCCGCATTATTATTCATGGCTCTTATCAGTCGTATTAAAGTGTAGCATAATATTCAAAATCCGAGCAACAAGTGGCAAAGGCATAGATTAATTATATTTATATCATTTATCTATATACATATATATACACACACAGTCTGACTGACAGACGGAATGTGATTCCTGAACTAGATGAGACACTTTGTAAGATGCTTTCGATCGGAAATCAAACGCACTTTCGTATACACTACCAAAAAAAGAACAAGTGCTTAATCGATTTGAAATCATTTTGCAATTCGGAAAACTCTGGACTAACGCACTTCTCAAGCATTCAAGTTGTTTGAGATGGGGCAACATCCACTGCGCGGGGTGGAAACGAAAGGTTCAGGGCAGTACGGGTGAATTGTGGGAAATGGGTGAAAACAAAACACTCGAGCGTGTATATACATACAAACGCACACACACACACACACACACACACACGCATACATATAAGTATAAACAAATACTTACGCATTAAGCTATCGGCTGTGTGTTGCTGTGAGACATTTATGAATAAAAACCTAATTGCAATTTGTAGACGATGACGACGACGACGACGATGCACTTTATGACGAGATAAATCCAAACGTTCTGCCTTGCTTGATCTTCTTCTTGTTAATCAAATAAATCTGTGGTCGTTTTATGTACTAGCACTAAATAATAATTAAAATAAAAAAACAAACGATTTTTGCTTTTCTGGCTTTTTTTGTTGTCGTAGTGTTTCCCTGCAGCTTATTTAAATCGGTGTCGTTTTTGGATACATATATACATATATATATATGAATATATATATGTGTGTGTATGTGTATATAGCTTATGCGTGAAGTAGTTTGTGTGTATGTAATATTCCTATGTGGTTATGCTTTATGAGGTGATGTTTCCGTTGCTTCACGACGTGTCGGTTTTCTGCTTCTTGAATCGTTATCGTTTGATTTAGTTGCGTTTGGAAAACATTAGTTTTAAGGAACGTGTGTAGTTGGTTATATCTGCATGTTTGCATATATATATATTTATATATATGTAATTATTTTAATTGATTATTAAATGTTGCATTTGCTGGTCAAGCTTCGTTTTGTTTCACTGTCTGCGGCTTTTGATTAGTTTAATTTTTGAGACCAGTTTTATTTTTATTTAAATGCAACGAAGATTTGTTAAATTTGATTATTTAAACAAAAACTTTTGTATGACGACGAGCAGAGAACGGTTATTTTTCTAGCTGTATTCTTTTACTTTCGCTCACACGCAACACTTAAATGCTTCTTTTGTATTTAATTTTCTGCATACTTTATGCTTCTTGTATTTGTTTATTTTCCGGTATGCAGTGGAACTGCAAGAAAAATAGAGAACATTTTCATTGTAAGCTTGGGAAACACTTCGTTTATATGGAGCAACAGCAGCCGCACTCGCAGTCACAGTCGCCGTCGCAGTCACAGTGAAGTCCACCCACGCACCCCACCCAACCAGTCAGTGTTCTCCTGCTCCAGAGTTCGCCTGCAACTATTATGTACTTTAATGTAGAAAAAAAAAAACGTATGCCCCGTGCAATTTTAAATGTACACTGACGCGGGCTTTGTGGCTTTTTATAAGCATAAACAATATGCGGGTACAATAACACTAACTTCTTATGCCACAAATGGGAGCTACTTTTGCATTTTGTACAAAATAAAAAAAAAAAAATAATATAGAATTTACTGGCCGTTTGCAAAATGTGCTAAATAATGCCAAAACATGCTGTTTGCTTGGGCAAGCAGTGCGCTACAGTGTTGTCACTGCTAAATTTGGCTGGGCAAATGTTGCCAATTGCATGGGCATATGCCAGCGAATGCAAATGCGAACAAATTAAACACGATATGCATGTAGTTAACAATTGATATGTGGTCACATCAGCATAAGCATAAGTGCAAAATGCAAATAAGCATACAGATATCACTGATAGGATAGATAGATAGTGCCCTGTAGCTGTATAGCTGTTTCGCTCGCACCTCTATACACACACGCGCACTGCTATACACACAGAGCGAGGGCGAGGCAAAAACGAACATGAAAAAATTTTTGGCCAGAAAATTGTCGATTCTGGTTTGCCGAATTGTTTAACAATTATGTGCCATTCTTTTCACCTATGCCCATAATTTCGTTGTTTATCTACTCGCCGCACAAACACGCCCAAAATTTGATAACTATTCCTAGCAAGTTGGTTCTGGTATTTCTCAACTAGCTGCTGCTGCTGGTTTTTGTCGGTGCTTTGATATTCGATTTAAACTCACAACATATTTGATTTTGCATTGTTCGGTTAACGTTAACGCACGGCCCGTAGTGACTTTTTTGCTTTGTCAACTCTTAAATTTTCTTAAGTATTTACACTTTTTTATTAACGCAACACCAACACACACGAAAGAGTCACCGACATAGGAGCATGATTGCATGAATTTTACAAGGTAGCGCTTATATGTGCGCAAATTGGACTGCGCAGAATTTTTGACGTCATACGCTCACATTTGCCAGGGCTGCTTAAAGAACTATTAGAAGGGATGCGGCAAACAATTTGATATCGGCACAATTAATTCAATCTATCGAATAAAAACATTAATCGAGAATTAAGCAATGTGGCCAGCTTTTCAATTATTTTGCGTTTGAAATGGGGTGACCATCGATGAATTTAAAAGCAAAACTTTAACGGAAATATTCTGTGACATTTTTAAACTTTAATATAAATTGCAACGTTTTGAATTTATCTCACATATAATCACATGTATGTAAAATACATATAAAACAAACCAGATCACATGCAAAAGGTTAAGTAAGCCCCATCTGCTCATTTTTGAAACAAATTCTTGTTTTTTTTGTTTAATCTATGTTTTATTTGATTTCTGTAAATTATTATCATTTGTTCAATGTGTTCATGCGATAAATAAATGTTTAAATTAATTAAATAATATTAAAATAATAACTTTACAGTACAGATTTCAAAGAAAACAAACTTTTGCAATTTCGGCTGGCAAACAAGCTTCAAACTGGATATCAATCTATTCGATTTGTATAAACAAAAATAATAAAAAAAAAGAATGGATCTGTTAGTGACTATTGGCTTGTTCTCAATGTTATAAAGCTGGCGCTAAGTTGTGTATTTCGAGAGTTTTACTCGGTTGCTTTAACTAAATAACAGCTACAAATTAGTATTTAATTTAAATGAATAAAAAACAATTTAATGCCGTATTCCGATTTACCAATGAAATGCCAACAAAAAAAAAAGAAAATAGGTAACTTCTGTTGTCCCATTTCGCTTTGCTTCTTGCATTCCAAAACACTCGATTGACTATAAAAAACTCGTACTACATATGTTTTGCAAAATACATAATATACAAAAGGATATCTTTCTCTCGGCTGGCAAACATGCTTGAAACATGTTTCTTATCGAGTGATATGCGTTAAATTGTTCGTCTTTAACTTTTTTGATTTTAACAGATTACAAATTAGATACATTTTGTTCGTGTTAATTATGAGCACAATAATAGATTTAACAAATAATATATATATATATATATATATATATATATATATATATATATATATATATATACGTATGTGTATGATGTTTATGATTTTAGATTTGTTTATGTTTTGTTTTTGTTTTTGTTTTTGTTTAGGCTTACAGCTAGGAAAATAATATTTCTGAAACATTCTCAAAATATATATTTTGTGTGCAATCATTTCTCAACAATAATAATAGCAATAATAATAATAATAATAGTAATAATAGTTAATGTTTGGAAGCACTGCTTTAACAAATACAAGACTCCTGTTTATTGCATACGAATTCAAACACGAATTTAAAATAATCCAAACAATAAATTTGACAAAAAGAAAAAACCACAGGTTCTTATGGACATGACAAAAAAAAAAGAGGCGTCGCAGCGCTGTGTATAAATTTGGCCGAAAGTTAAGTTTGTTCATCGAAATTTGTAAAATGTGTGTAAAATGTATTTTTGTTTTTTTTTTTTTTTTGTATATAATTGTATAACAAAAATTGTGGGTTGAAGTTGGTGTTGTTGTTGTTCTTGTTGTTCTTGTTGTTGTTGTTGTTGCATGTTTTTTTCTTATTAGTTGTTGCATTTATCCCGTCATCGTCGCGGCGTCAGCTTTTCAAATGGGACGCGTAAAGTTGGCCGGAAAGAGGCCCTTCTCGTTTGTGCCCTCCTTTTGACCCATTAGCCAGCCTTCCTCCTGTAAATTGTTAATAAAAAACTACATTCAATAAAGACAAGTAGTGAAATTCTATACACATTTAACTCGGGAGGGTTGACTAGCGGCATGCACAATAATTGGAACTGAAGTGGCATTCAAATAGTTGTGTGTGTCGACCTAAATTAGTTTTACCTGATCCTCGGGATCATCATACTCGATGACGCGTATGGTATCGCCAATTTCAAAGCTCAGCTCGTCGACATCTTCCTTAACGTAGCCATAGGTCGCCTTCACGCGATATAGCACACCAGGTGGCAAATCAGCGGTGTTGGCATCTGTGAATAAAAATCCGGTATAAATAAACAAAAGGGTTTCATTGCCATAAATAACTTATTAGTTGTACATCGAAGGTATGCATAACTCAATTTGTAATTTTAGTGCACAAAAGCAAGAACAGAACTTGCTGTTAATGTGGTATATAAAAACTCGCAGCCTGTATGGGTTAGTCGGGTTTTAATAGAGGTAGCTTTGCTAGTAGTACATCGTCAACAGCTCCATCCATCCATAAATACAAAAGACTTAAGCAGCGAACGTGCAAGCGGTGTTTAAATGGTGATCAAAATGAATGAGTACGACTTACGACTAAAAACCTACTTGCTGTAGCCACCTGCAACCAGTTTTATATTTTTGTTTTATTTATTATCTTTTTGCTCTTACCAACAATTTGCCACTTATTACTAGCGCAGCATTATCATAAATGTGTGTGTGTGTGTGTGCGTATTTACTATAATTTTGTATACCCAACTATTTGTGAGAATGATAACGATATGTACAAGCATATTGTAAGGTCATAGAAATGCGTTATAATAATATGAGACGAGTGAAAACAAATAGTTTAAGATGTGCTAAACGTGCATTTCAAAGTAAACAGCAGCTGGTGGCGCCATCTGTTGCCGAGTGGCCGAATTACAAGGCTTGCTCTAAGTTTAAAGCCAAGATTTACTAAAATATCTCAAATTTGAACAGCTGTGTTTAGTTTGAAACGCAACCAGTATGCTTCGCATTGATGCTAAAAATTTATATACTTGTATGCTGAGCATGAGATAAAGGACTCGACAGCTCGTTGACTGCCCCCAGAATCGAACGGGATAAGTAATACAGCTTATATAATATGATATATATATTAAAGATACGCCCGAAACGCACATGCTTTGGCCCGTTGTATACAATTTTGCGGTTAAACAATACGAATACAGATACAGACATCATAACAGAAACTGAAGCATTTAAGAGATACAATATACAATAGACAAGCCGCTGTCAGACGCTCAGGCTCTATCGGGCAACCAAAACATATATAGCTCCATTTCAATAAATGGAGCATACTACAGAGAATTGTGTTCAAGTGGTGGATGGATTGGATTGATTGGTGGTTGGTGCCCAACAAGAGACGTCAAAACGACAGACAGACACACAAGTGTAGAGAAATGCACAGACAGACCCAGTTTGTAATTGTTTTTTGTTTTTTTTTTGTATTGTTTTGTTTTGTTTGGAGTAGATCGTAGATTGGACGCTTACTCACCCTGGGGCACCTCGTAGATGCGTTCGTCATCTTCGTCGAAGGGATTCTTATTAAAATGCTTATTAACAGTTTGGCTATTAACTAATTGTTTTTGGCTATCGCTAACTGTTTCTGTATCTGTAACTGAGTGCGTTGCATTTGTGTTTGTTGTTGTTGTTTCTTTACCTAATTTCTTTTGCTTATGCTCCTCAAGCGAACTCGAATTGCCATTGGCATTCGCCTGGCCATCCGGCAGCTCCTTTGGCTGTTTGCCCGGCTCTTTGGCTGTGACTGTGCCTGTGCTGTTGCCTGTGCTGTTGCCTGTCGTCGTGTTGTTGGCCGTATTGTTGCTGCCGTGTGTTGTTGCTGTCGCATTTGTTGCCGGCTGCTGCTCGTTATTGTTGCCATTCAATGTGCTTGTTATTGTTGTGGTTGTTGTCGTTGTTGTTGTTGTTTCCTTGCCATCTGTTGTCACCTCACTGATTGTCTCCTCTGTCTTGGCTGCTGTTCCTGTTCCTGTTCCTGCTGCTGTTGTTGTCGTTGTATTGGCATTCGGGCTGCTCAGCTCAGCGTGGTCCACGAGCTTTGTTGCTGTGATGCCATTAGTTGTGCCTGCTGCTCCTGCGGCTGCCTTCTCCAGCCGCAGCACGGGACTGCGCGGTGGCTCTGAAAGCTGTGCCGACTCTGGCGTCGGTTCTGGCGTTGAAGAAACTGAATCAAATCGTGGCTCAACCATGGACGAGCTTGTGGATGTTGCTATTTGGTTTTTGTTTTTGTTTTTGTTTTTTTTTTTTTATATACGTTGATATTGATTTTGTTGCATGTTTTGTTTTGTTTTTTTAATGTGTGGTGTTTGTTGTTGTTAATTTTTATATATATTTTTTTTGGGTAGGGTTAGCATCATTCCAACAAAAACAATACATTTTAATTCATAATAAAAAAGAGAAAAGAACGTAAAGTAAAAATAGTTATATAACTGAACACATGCATTGTTATGGGCACTTGGATAGAAGTTGAAAGTTTTTCTTGTCCGATTTGTCAAAGTAAAAAGCGACAGCAAACAACATTCCATTTGTCTCTCACGACTATATATCAAAGAAAATTTGTATCAAATGCAGTGCTCAAAATTATCGTCTTGATTTAATCAAGCAAACTAAATAAATAGTATTTATTAACTACTTAATTAGACCAGACCGCATTACATATACAAAAAATACAAGAGAAACATTTTTACATGTTTTAGTTCGAAGCGCGTCAACAAATGGAATGTGGAACGTTAATCAAATTAGTCTGGCGACAACTAACAAATTTTACTTATAAATTGCCAAAAACTAGAAAAAAAAATATCGTTTAAATTTTGCATAAACATATAATATGGTGCATAGAATAGATAATATATGAAATATATATATACAAATATTTTATATATTGTGTATAATATTGAGTTCTTTTTTTTTTTTTTTTTTTTGGTATTTTTATACATCAAATAAAAAAGGATAAAGAAGTTGGGAATTTATTTTACACTTTGGCGATGTGTAATGCAAATATTTTTTTTTTTACAGTTTTGAGCAATTTATAATTTATATTTTTGGTTTTTTTATTGAAAGGAAAAGAAGCGAAAAAAAAAAAAAACGAAATAAAAAACGTAAATGCGTAAGATTTCATAAATATCGAAAACAAAAAAAAAAACAAAAAAACGAATAATCAAACTCGAAAATAGTTTCAGTTCTTTTTAGATAGTATCTGTAGCTGAGAAACACGCCCCTCGGGGGCGTTTACTACTTACGACTGTTGGCCAGACTGGAGCCACCGTTTGTGGTGATTTGATTCTGATAGTTGCTGTTGTTGGCATTGGCGTTATTCAGTTTATTTACTGGCGATTGCACTGGACTCGACGTCTTGATAGCATTTACTGTTGTGGCACACAGAACATTATTAGTTTAGATGGAGTATATGAGGGCTGTTACAAGAACTTACTTGTTTGTTTGCGCAGCGTATTTGAGCCACGTTGCGATTCTGTAGCCAGTTTGTCAACAATTGCCTCAAGTTCCGCATAGATCTATGACAATATGCATGTAAATATCATTGGGGTATATTCTATATGAGTGCATATCGTTTCGCCTACCTTGGCCGTTTCATTGTGGAACACCTGCTCCGTGGCGAACAGTGTCTGCAAATTGGTAACCAAAAATAATATTCTCGAATCGTAGAGGGCGGGCAGCTCATCGTGCAGTTCCGTATTCAAAATTTCGTAGGTGCGACGTGCCTCCTCCAATTGTTCACGACCTTTGGTAAGCTACATATGTGGCATGGAACAAAGCAAACAATTCGTTTAGAATTCTCAACTAGTTAAATGCAACGGCATACCTTAACATCATCCTTCCGCTTGTTGGCATTGGCCTGCAGATTCTGGAACGAATGACGTTGGCCATCGTAGTCGATGAGCTTGCGATTGCGTTTCTCCACTTTCTTCTTCATCTCGGGAAACTGTCCGGTGTATGTGTTAAGCGGTATCAGCACCTGATCACCCAGTTTGTGTGCAAAGTCCAGCCACAAGCTCTCCGAGGCGGCAGTTTGTGCTTGCAGTGCATCATAGCCGCTCCACTGTGGCTCATAGATTTCGCAAACGGCATCCATCAGCGACTTTGAGGCGGTTTGTGCGGCTACAAAACGAATAGAAAGAGTTCAAATTTAATGTTGAGCAGTTGCATAGCGAGTCAAGACTTACCGCGTATGCATCTTATGTAGTTATTAAACTCCTTTTGTAATTTATTGGCATTTGTTTGTTGGCGATTGAAATTATTCAAATGATCATCAAAGATCTCATCTGCGGTGCGATCAACTTTGCCCAAGTTTTGTAGAATCTGCAAGTGTAGGACAAATACGAATTTAATAACCAGTTACAGACGGATCAAGTGTGTTTGTGTGGGTGTAGACCAAGGTCATTGATAAACTGGCTTAAAGTGTGGGCTGTAGCTCTGTTCAAGCCCGACCACGTAATCTCAGCCCAATTACCACTGTAGTGGCAACATATTTCATTTGCACTTAGCACACACACACACACACACACACACACACAGTCACACACACATTGTAGCCAACAAATGGCGCATTTATAAATAAGAAAAATCATTTGGCAAGCATTGCCTGTGCCCGGCTAAGTTTTTGTTCAGTTTTTTACATGTCTGAACTCGCAAAAAATAGCATAGAAAAGAGGAACAGACCAACAACAACAAAGCCAACAAAGAACAAAAAAAAAATGAGTAGAAGACGAAGACAATTTAGCAAAGCGCTAAATCTGTTGCCACATGGCTGTCCACATCCAAATTGGGGTTAAGAACGCAATTCGGACGGCTGCCTCCGGTCAATTTGCGGCTGCAGATACTTAAGAAGATGAAAATGACCAAACTGGAATGTGGCAAGCGGTGAGCGGCAAGGGGCAGGAGGCAGGCGGCGTGTTGATAAGTTGTCAATTGCTGACACAACCTTGTAACAGTTTTTCAGAAACACCCACGCCGCAAATGTGACCCCACACATACAGGGAACTGAAACAGACAATAAAGGAGACTGCACAGATGTAGAGAGAGAGAGAGAGAGCGAGAGAGAGTGTGTGTGACAGAGAGAGCGCGACAATTAACTGTGTCACAGCCACAAGCTGTAACACGCTGCGTATACGCAACGCAACATTTAGCTGGGCAACTTTTTCGCTAGCCACAAGGCTAATAAGCCACAACTTTGGCAAATATTTGAGCCTAGATAAGAGATAGCTAATCAACATTCTTAACAAATTTTGAGATAGAAATTATAGACTTAGACAAACAGCTAAGATAATTCGTGATGGGCCAAAACACGCTTGCAACTGTGTCGAGTGAGAGCGCGCAGTGCGTACTTCCTCCATAGGAAATGTTACCTTAAACACACGTATGCCATACGCATATCAAATTAGGCACAGGTGGATGTAAGCGTCAAAATCGTAAAGACAACAAACATGACGAAGCTCAAATGCCCTTGCAAATGAGTGCTAAGGAAAATGTTTACGACGATTGGCTTACATTTGAAATTAAAGTGCTTTGGTTGCCAGGAATAGTTGTTCTTATAGAAGCTAGAACAATTATAATTTAAAAAAAATATATGATTCATTATTTTAAGAATCTATAATTAAATAGATGCACAGCATTCAATGGCAGCATGTTGAATTTCATGCATTGAATTTGAGTTGAGTTGAGTTTTATATTCTATTAATTCATTTAAAATTTTATTAATTTAAGAAATCTGCGTCCATGATCTTTTGCTATTAGAAAAACTTTTCCAAAACGGAACGAAATAAAAAACAATTTTTAGAAATTAAAATTTATTTATGCATTGATAAATCTTCAGCATTTTAGGAAGCGTGTACGGATATGGAAAGTTTTGAATGTTGCTCATAAAATTTGTTTAAATAGTCCAGATACCAAATATGACAACATAACCTTTTTTTCAGCCAACAAATAAGGTAAATACTTTTATTAGCCAAGATTCGACAGCCCAAAAAGATGATGGACTTGAGTTTCATTCAATAAATGTAAAATGTTGCTGCTATTTTCTGCCTTTCGCTCAGTGTATATCACATATATAATATTGCTATGGTCACATTCAACAAGTGTAGCTCACACACATAAAAACCTTTTATGGGCACACTGACCAGCACACACACGACTTTATTGTGGGTAGCTTCCCAGCAACTTGTTGACGCATTTGATGACCATTTTTGTAACTGAAACCCGGCAAAAGCGACAAGAACGAGCCAAGACTTAACTGTACGAATGCTTTTTTTGATTTTGTTATTGTTATTGTTAACCTTAATTGGTTCGACGTAGACTGCAGTTACATACACACAACTATCGGATATGCCCACGTGTAGAAATCTTTCAGCCACATGCAACGTGCGGCTTGTGGGCGTTGCGTGGTCTTTAAATATTGTTTGTTGCCAAGGCTCAAAGTTTTATTAATAAGCACGCAAACAGATTTATTATCAATTTCATTGTCAATTAGCTCCCCAGCTGGCCCCAACTTCTATGCAAATAGATATGATTGCGTTATTGGCGAATGATTGGACTTTGTGTGGTTATCGAGGCGGCGACCGTAGTCAGAGGCCTTTTCAACTGCCGCCGAGCAGGTCTCAGAGCATTTGGCATGCGTCCTTCTCCAAATAGATATATATATATATAATACGAGTATATATAGAAATATCTATTTTGTTTAAAGTTTGCGTCATCGTACTCTCCCAGCCACGTACGATATATATATAGAGCATATGCATATATCTAGCGTGTGTCATTTATTTAAAAATCATATGTGCCATCTCTCGCACTGACTGTCGCCATATGTACGCATACGATATATATATAACCATAGACAAGATGTGGTCCAAAACAGTTTATTTGGCTATTGGCTAATGGCACACAACATGCAACATGTGCGTAGACGAGCATAAACGTGGGCTAAGCTTTTGGCCACAAGCCAGACACCAAGCTCTGCCGCCGGGGCGTAGCAGGGGGCGTGGGCGTACAGAGGAGTCACAGACAAGCAACAAGCAGCAATCGATGACAACATCAGCAATAACAACAGCCTACAAGATACCAGATACCAGATGCATAAGTATCTTGTAGCTGCAAAATAATTCAACTTTCAAAAAGTGCAATACATAAATATAAATCGAAGCAAGAGTAGACAATACACACACACACACACACACACACACACATAGGCACGCCCATCAAGATGGGCTGGCAAACAAAAGTAAAGTGCAGCAGCCGACATATTGTTAAGGCGGGCTGTGCAAAGGGGGAGGGGAGGGCGCGGAGCTAGCTGGCAAGCGTTGGCCCAGTTTATAAGCAATCTACAGACAGCTACAAGACAAATAAAAAAAGCAAGAGAGAGAAAAAGCGAAAGAGAAAGAAGCCAAAGCCAAAGGTTGGCTACGAACCCCAGTTACCATCTAGAAATATCCAAACTATTTTCGGTACATAACTATGTCAAAGATCAGGCAAAATATGCATTCAGTATTTTAGCTTGCAATTTAAGAACCATCTCAAGCACTAAACAATATACCCCAGCTGCTGGGCAATCCGTTTCGAGGGTATGCGAAATGGCAACGTCAGCTAAACTAGAAATTATTGTAGATACAACAAGTTGAGCATGGCAAGAGAGACAATACAAAAAAAAAGGGAATATTAAACATAAACAGGCAACAGACAACAGACAATAAAAACAATTGTGAAAAAAAAAACAAAGTTTGTAGAAATTGCTGCCGCCGGCAAAAGTGCGAGACAAGCGAGTGAGTGCAAGGGAAGAGCGGGCAGGGGAAGTGCAGGAGGAGAGCGCAGCAAATGAATAAGAGAAATGATGGCTATGGAAAAATGTGCCACGACCAGAGAACGGTGTCAGAGCAGAGTTGCCGACTGCCACGCCCACAAGGCAAACGCGCATGGCCTCGCCTAGCGGCAAAGTTGAGGCCGTCGACAAGTGCCGCCTGGTTTAATAACATGCAAGCTGTGCATGTAATCCGGCTATGTGTGTGTGTGTGTGTGTGTGTGGAGACCTAACCTATTACCACAAAAGCACATTTTTAGCTAGTTGCCCGCGGTTAGCGGTAAAAGCAAAAAAACTCTCCATATATGTAAGCATGATAGACACCAATGGTGACAGCAAGAGAGAGAAAAAAAAAACGGTTGTTGTGGGCAGCAACCGGTTCTTGATTGAGCCCCCACATCCCCCCCTCCCCTCCCTGCTCGCAGGCAATAAGTCATATGACTTAAACTGATCTGAGATCAAGTTGGCAGCAAAAACAACAAAACATGCGAAGAGAGCAAAAACAACAATTTGCACTGAGCTGAGAACAGATCGTATATCTTGTTAGTAATAGTCATTAAATCATGATTTGCTAGAAATGAGAAAGCGCTAAAATAAAAAATAAACAAGCTAATTAAAAAAGTGCACAAAAACCAACATTTTCCAGAAGAGTTCAATTTGGAAATAAGTTTATAGAAATGCGAGAAGCTACATCCGCATTAGAAACCGAACGGCCAATTAGCTGGTCAAGCAGAAATCGCTTTTGATAGTTATTACTGGGATATGCCCAAGCGTTATCAAGCCAACTTGGCCTCCAGACAGGGCTTTACAACATCCATAAACTGGCATGAGATATTTCATTTGCCTGAAGCCAATTTGACAACTTATTTGGGATAGGAAATTGAGAGAGACTTCAGTTTGAAGTAGTTGATTATGCTCAGAAATCGATTGCAAGTTAAAATTAAATAAACTAAGAGTCTAGTTGTGTATGCCCGACTGGGAGATACCCTAGACTTTTTGCCAACAACACAAATTGCAGCTTGCGCGAGACGGAGGAGTAGGGAGTGGCATATATATATACATATACTCTATTGGCTCGCAGATGCTTTCAGCTGCCTGTTACATACATTCACAAAAAACCTATATACCCTCTTGGAGGGTATACAAATGGCGAAGAGAAAAACCGCACTGAACTCTGGATCGAGGCTATGAAAACGCACATACTATACATAATTTTGTATAATATAGACATGTATGTTAATTAAAGCATTTCATTGCGCAATCGAATTCGAATTCGATTTGTTTATGCGACGTTTTCAACTTTGGCTTCATTTGCTTAATTTCTTTCAATACTCTTTCTCCCTGTCTCCCTCTCTCTCTCTCTCTCTCCCTCTCTCTGGCATCGTTTGGGCTTTCTTTCGCGGTCGATGCGACTTTATCGCTTTAAGCTTAAGCAAGTGGAAAGTGAAACTCGGTAGAAAGTTCGACTGAAATGCCCAAAGAAAATAAATAATATTTATCTATGCTAGAGTCC